CGCGGTTCTTGTCAAATGTTTCAAAGTTGCGCAGAAGTTCGCTCTCTCAATTAACGATAGTTGCTCGCTGGACTCGTTAATTTTTACGCTATGTAAACGGGTAATTAGTTCTCTTTATTTTTCTTTCTTTTTTTTCTTTCAACGCCTCCTAACGCGAGCCTGTTCGTTTTTCACGGTTGCTACAGTTTTAAACGTTTCCTAGCACGCGACGTGGTAAAAGAGAGAAAAAAATCGATGCGCTTCGTCGAGGAAGGTTCGAGAAGGGATTCTAAATCCTTTCCCCCGGTACGAATGCTAGAACCTTTGATTGTTGCGAGTCGAAAAGCGAGAGCCCGGTACCACGGTTACCTTCTCTTTTGCTCGTTTCTTTTTCCTGTCGGACTTAGCAACCCTAGTGGCGCCTCTCTCGAGATATAAATTAATTAGATTTGTGTGGAGGTGTGTCAGCCAAGTGCCGGCACTGTGTTTCTTGTCTTACGACCGACTGCTCTTGCCTTACGTCCGTCCGCGTTTCAACCAACGACCCAATGGCCTACTCTCTTCGCTACCTATAGACGGTTTCATAACTTTTTAAATATATTTATTTCTCAGCTTAAATTTCTTTTAAATTGGTCACGCTACGCTCGAGCAAACTTTACAGTATCCAGTGGGTAAAATCCGGTCGACCATCGCGGCACAAATTACTGGAAAAGTCGTGAAAAATATACCGTTGGAAAATATGTACTAATTTCTACTCGATCGAATAAGATTTTTTCCGCGCAAAAATAGACAAATAAACGCGTATATTTTTATGATTAAGATTCGTTGAAAACGCGTGCGACGCCTTTGAAGCAACGTATACCTCGGCAGGTAGGTCTGCGTATAACGCATGATGTATGGTGGGCGTGAAACGGGCGTAGCAACATAGTAACGTTTACTATATCGGCCAAAACTGGCTAACAGTTCTCTCGACGATTTCGTGTAACCAAATTACGGTTTCACGATTAACTTTTGCGACCTCGCAAATATCGGTCTTGGCCTTAACGAGTAAATTTTAGACCTCCCAACTTAAAACGAAAAAAGCCTTTGATACCTCCGAAACTGAACACGCACCCTGTGCGTCCTATTCGCCGTAATATCGCACATATAACAACAAAACCCTGCGAAACATAATAGGATCCTTGCTTATAATTAATTACAGGAAAAAGGCGAGAAGTTTGATCATTACAACTAGAATGACAATTTCACTCTCGACGGGGATCTTGTAATAAGCCTCGAACGACTTAAACGAGGGAAGAATGTAAAAGTACGGTACTGTTTGTCTCGTATTTAATAATCGCATTCCACGCAGTAATAAAGTTTCATGGTAGTGAGCTATTAAAAAGATATTTTCGTAAATCGTACAAGAAATACCGATTATGTTTATACTCGCCATAGCTAGCAAATTGACACGACAATTCTGAAGGGTTATTCCTAACGAATCGCAATAAAACGAGCGAACATAGAAATCCCATTTATTATGCATAATTTCAGCTAACGAGCATGATTACAGTAAAAGGGAAAACATGCATGTAGCGTTCATAAACTGAAGATTAATTCGCAACTTCGTTTAAGTTAACCACTTTGTAAAATACTGTTGCGTTAACTAAACTATTTGTTAAACATTCTTCGCCTTGATAATGTCACGGGAGGATTACATAACAATATGTGTCTGTTGGAAGATAACTAATATATCGATATTCATCAAGTTTTTGCGGTCGATGCTGACAAAAAACAGCAAAACGATAACTCACGTTTATGTTGCCAAGATGAGTTGGGGGGCTGATACCCCTGCGGCCTCCGCCGCCTCCGACCTCGGCGTCCAGCTTGCCGGCTCGCTCGGTCCCGTGGATCTCAAAAATATCGACGAAAGTCGATGCAATCTCAGCCTCGAACAACTCTGTCCGATCCTCAGAACGGCCTGTACGAACACCACCGTTCACACAGAACAACAGCAAACAACACCGCGTCACAACTTTCGATCACTGTGCGATAAACGAGATTCAAAAACATTCTATCCACGGTATGCACCGTATCGTGACTCGAGTTCAACTTTAACTGTACACCGTTGCAATCGATAACGAGGACCAATAAAAGTTAGTCAGTGTTTTAATTCGAAGCGCGCGAATTTCACGACACTTGGCAAGACGTTCGAGATCGAGTAAACACAGCGAATCATCAAACGTGCACACCGAACGATCATCAACTCCGCCAAGATCGATTACAGAATCCCGTCAACGATGAACCTCGGTGTTAACGAGATATCCAACACAATCACGTTGCATTCGTTTCGGTATCGTCACTGTTCGTTCCATGTTCGCCGACGTGTCGCGAGCAGAGCCGTAAACCACTCGTCTCAGAACAATTTTTGACAAAACGAACAAGAGGGTAAACGATTTCGGTGGGCAAGTTGCGTAGTCGCTGATGGTTGTACGAGTAAATAGGCTTGGAGATCGGTAACGGATCGTCTATGAATCGAGATCGATCTCGGCTCGATCGGTGACATGCGCGCGCCTACGAACCTGTTCGTTCATTCTTCGTCCCATGGACAGTGTCAGCGCGAGCATCGGTACGATGATGACGAGGAGAATCGAGCGTTCAGTAGTATCGACGACGACGACGACGGCAACGACGACGACGACGACGACGATGAGAACGACGGCGAGTCGGCGTGTTGCGTATCCGCCTTAAGGGCCGTCCGTCGCAGACGCATGCTCGCGACACGTCGCAGCCTCTTGCACTGACCGCGTGTAACGCGTAAGAGAGAGCTGTGTACTGTGTACTCGACTCACTATCTCTATCTCCCTCTCTCTCTGTCTCCTTTTCCCCTAGAATCGGAGCTGTCCGCCTTCGTCGCGCTCGCGACGACTCGTTGGACGACCTCGGCGTCCAGCTTGCCGGCTCGCTCGGTCCCGTGGATCTCAAAAATATCGACGAAAGTCGATGCAATCTCAGCCTCGAACAACTCTGTCCGATCCTCAGAACGGCCTGTACGAACACCACCGTTCACACAGAACAACAGCAAACAACACCGCGTCACAACTTTCGATCACTGTGCGATAAACGAGATTCAAAAACATTCTATCCACGGTATGCACCGTATCGTGACTCGAGTTCAACTTTAACTGTACACCGTTGCAATCGATAACGAGGACCAATAAAAGTTAGTCAGTGTTTTAATTCGAAGCGCGCGAATTTCACGACACTTGGCAAGACGTTCGAGATCGAGTAAACACAGCGAATCATCAAACGTGCACACCGAACGATCATCAACTCCGCCAAGATCGATTACAGAATCCCGTCAACGATGAACCTCGGTGTTAACGAGATATCCAACACAATCACGTTGCATTCGTTTCGGTATCGTCACTGTTCGTTCCATGTTCGCCGACGTGTCGCGAGCAGAGCCGTAAACCACTCGTCTCAGAACAATTTTTGACAAAACGAACAAGAGGGTAAACGATTTCGGTGGGCAAGTTGCGTAGTCGCTGATGGTTGTACGAGTAAATAGGCTTGGAGATCGGTAACGGATCGTCTATGAATCGAGATCGATCTCGGCTCGATCGGTGACATGCGCGCGCCTACGAACCTGTTCGTTCATTCTTCGTCCCATGGACAGTGTCAGCGCGAGCATCGGTACGATGATGACGAGGAGAATCGAGCGTTCAGTAGTATCGACGACGACGACGACGGCAACGACGACGACGACGACGACGATGAGAACGACGGCGAGTCGGCGTGTTGCGTATCCGCCTTAAGGGCCGTCCGTCGCAGACGCATGCTCGCGACACGTCGCAGCCTCTTGCACTGACCGCGTGTAACGCGTAAGAGAGAGCTGTGTACTGTGTACTCGACTCACTATCTCTATCTCCCTCTCTCTCTGTCTCCTTTTCCCCTAGAATCGGAGCTGTCCGCCTTCGTCGCGCTCGCGACGACTCGTTGGAC